TGAGTCCCTATGAATTTGACTGCTCTAGGGACTTCATATAGCATTTGTTCTTTTGTGATCAGGTGCTTATTATAGTTTTAAAACTCATAATGAAATATTTAAAGCGTATATAGGTAACAGTGAGGGGAGATGAAACTTAAAGAGCATAGAATAGTGATTGGAGGCATATGACAAGACGGGGGGTTAACATAAAGTGGCGAACAGAGGGGCAATGGAGCAGCTCCTGGCAACTCCGTGGCTCAGAAGAAGCTCCAGGTAAGTAACCTGCTCAAGGACACACAGCTACTACGCATGGGCAGAACTGGGTTTGCATCTAGGTTTTTCTGACCCAAAGTTTCACCGACATTTTTATTTTATTAACTAATTTCCTCTAGGGCAGTTACTCATCTTGTACAACATTAGAAAATTCCCCAGGGATAAAAAATATGTCCCTTTCTCACTGTTCTCTCATGCATGTGGTGTGGTCCCCCATCAGTTAACTTTAACATGTTTGACCTCTGAGACCCTCAACCTTAAATATTTCCCATTATCTCATGCTTCATCTGAAACACTGTCATTAAGAGCGGCTGCTTGCCTATGCCTGGGCCCACTCTAGGCAGGCCCTGGATCTTGGCGGTCGTTGTCACATGCATTTACCCCATTGCAGTGAGATTCTTTAAAGATGCCTGAGGGGCTTCTAAACTGGAGATTTGTAGATTCAGAAAAAATATTAACTGAGACAAACTGAATCTACACTGAGTTCCTTTTACCAAGCACAGGTATAGCCACCAACCAAGCAACAAAAAGAAAACCAGTTTCAGTGTGCTTCTAGGGTTGGTGCGCAGCACGCGTCTTCACCAGCATGTTGGATTAGTGGGAATGTTCCCTGGATCCTCTGTCACCACCTCTGGCTGGGCTCTCACACCTTCAACGTGGGACTCTAGGTATCTGCACCCTGTGCCTTGGTTGCCTCCCTGCAAGGGCTTTGCGTTCCCACCTAACGTCCCAGGGTTTGTATTCTCTGCTGCATTTCTAATGCTCTATTGATGTTTCTCTTTTCTTTTGACAAGCCTGTGCAATTGCTGGAGAGGTGATGCTCTCATCCTGTAAATCTATTAGGTGTTCAAACAACAAGCAAATAGACTATCCTTCTCCTTCCTGGTGTTGGCAGTGTTTGGGGGGAATTCTATAGTTCTACCAGACTAAGTGAAATCCTGCCCCTGTTCCTCCCTGAACTGTGCACAGGCTAAGGGCTTGGTAAGCAACGGCCACTGCTGTCATTCATTCCCTGGAGCTCCCTGAGTTCCCATACAGGAGAAGGGAGCAAGGGTGACATACTCACCCTTCTAGGACTCTCAGAATTATCTGGCTCCATCAGTTGGTGTGACAGTAACAGATCTGGTCTCTCCTCATCTGTCATCTGTAGCAGCAGTGTGGCAATGGCAACAGTGAGCTGGAGCCGGACTCCCCAGATCCATCACAAGGTGCCTAGCTTTGAGGTGGCTTCCAACAAATTTATTTTCTGGTGGCTATTGAGGTATGAATAGCTTTGACCAGACATATGAAGATAGAGTGTGGACAAGTTGGCATTGATTCTTAAGAGATTTTCTTAGTGTGACTGAGGGCACCAAGCCAGAGAGGATGGCACTTTGTGAGTTTGTAAAAAAGGATCTTAAAGTAACTAGTGTGTTCATTCAGTTGCTTAGAGGCAATAAAACCTCACATTTCTCTAGAATTCTTCCCTGGGTCTCCTAAAATTCAGATCTGATTAATAAGAGTTGGTGATCATTTCTGAGCAATCTGAGTTGGGTTTTTTTTGCCAATGAAATACTTATTTCCAATCCAAGCAGTTGCAATGATGATAACAAAAATTTCTGGGTCCTGGGCATCCTTAGAGGACCCGGAAGTGCCTGTGAATCACTTTATTAGCATTATGCATCTGCCTTCTCCTCCATCAGCTCAGGGCACATTTGCAGTTTTATGTCACATCAATGGTTTCTTGGCTAATTTTTCTTGAGTTCTGTGCTATGCTGCGAAGGTTGCCATGATTCCTGAGCCTGAAAAAGCAATTGACAAATCTACTAAGGTAAGGTACCACCCACACTAAAAACTATTTGTGAAGTGGAAACTCTCTCACTGTTTGTGATTCATGCAATGACGCTTTGGCCAAAATGCTGTGTCTCAGGTTAGCAGAGGACAACAGCAAGTGAGGGGCTGGGAGCACGTTCTTTTGTACAAGCCTGCATTTGGGGAGGTGGGAGTGGGGGCGTCCTAGGCAGGGTACAACTGCTGGTTTCAGCAGCTCAGGGTGGGCTTGTGAAATGATGACGACTCGTGGCTTTGAGTGGGGGTTTGGGATACCTTGATTAAAATTCTTAGTCCTAGAGGGAGGGCACAGATCATCAAATGTCATTCCAGCACCTGAGACATGAGGTGGGAGGAGAGAAAGAGAACAGTTCTGTTCTTTCGGTGGTTGTAGTGTAGAACCAAGCACAGCAGTAGGGTACCTAGTCAGAGTCAGGGTCTTGGCAATCATCTCTCAGAGATATTAAAGTCACTTTTCCATTAACTTTAATTTTATGAGCAGCTTGGGTCCATGCTGGAAGTGAAGGTTTGGGATAGGCATGAACAAACGAAGTGTTTGGAGTAGGGGGAAAAGAAACGTGGTGTTGTAAATATTTCCTAGCTCATCCTCTAGGTACTTGGCTCATCGTCCTTGATAGGGGGCTCTGAAGGAACACCCCAGAGTCCCTGTGAACCTGCCTCCTCTCCCATCAGAGCCGCGTAAGTGGTTTTGGAAATGGAGGGGTAGGAGATAGAGGTAGCAACCACAGGAGACGTTTTCTCTTCATCCTCATGATTTACACTCTTGATTGTTACTTCAGAGCACCATGACCTGCATTCAAGTATTTCTACCCCACCAGTGGGGCAGGGAGCAGGGCTGTTCCCCACCTCAGACAAGGAAATGGACCTGAGATTGTTACCAGTTGCTTTGGGAGAGCAAGTTGTAAAGGCCAAAGCAGGGCATAGAACCAGGTCTCAGATCCCGGCTGTTACGCTTTCTGCCAAGCGGAAATGACTCCTCTCCTGTGTGTTTTAGCCTTGCTTTCTGTTTCTGTTCACCTAGATCTCTCTCTCTTGCCATCCTTCTACCCAACTTTCTACCCATCTATCCATCCATAGGAAAAAGTCCACCATACAAGTTAGTCTTAAATAAGGAATGAAATTGACTGCTGGACAATAGCCAAATAGCTCTTGCTGGTGAAACACTTCTCTCATTTGAGCTACATAAATTCAGAAATTGTTGATAATGCACCCAAAGCATAATATGAGCTGTCAAAATGGAAATAATAAGTGAGAATTCAATAAAAGGGGACAGTTTTAATTCACAAAATGAAAACTATAGGCATTTAAGAACTATAGGCATTATTGACCTCACACAATTAGTTTGTCACTGTGTATAAATAACTAATATACTACCATGTCCATTAAAATCAGCTTAGCAGGGTCTTAATTTGGAAACACTCTGTTGCTTATTCATTTGAGTAACCCTATGTACTATAGCAGTGTATGATGTTATTAAGTGAACATGAACTTGAGAAGATAGGCTATTGTTACAAGTTGTTATTCTATCAAACAATTAAACAAGGCTCCAGCCTTCATTATTAAAAAGCAGAGAGCCTTTAGGACAGCCGTAGGAGGCCAGGAAGTAACACCATTTGGTCCCCAAAGAAGGCGTAACGCACCTCTGCATCAACTCATCCCACCCCAGGTCAGAGGATTCTAACTGAATAGATCTAAGCACAAGGATATTTAATGGAGGTGGAGAATTTTGAGAAACCAGGGAAGAGGTTTTGATTCCAGGTCAGAATGGACCTTTTCCCTGTCCTCACAATTCCTCACCTTTCTCCTATGAATACTTCTGTAAAATGGGTGAGGGGCTGCCGACTCTTGCAAGCTATTTTCTTTCCCTTCCTCTTACCTTCAGAGCCTGGCTGGTCAGATTCAGATTCCATTTCCCTCTTCCCTGCTTTCTCTTGGTTTACTTTTCCTTGGAACAGCCTTAACTGGCCACTTAAGTGGCAATGATGAGAGGGTTAGGATATGAGTCTGGACCTAGAGAAAATGCATAAAGAAGTGTCACTGTCAGCTTTGTCCTTATATCTCAGAGCTGCCAAGATTAAGCAAGAAAATCATTGCACCTCCATTAAGTATTCCAATATATTGGGTCTGGGCCCAAAGTCCCACTTAGTGATAAGGTGATGCTTTGCCTAGCCTTAGACAGTGTATGTGGCTCTAGGCTGCATTAATTATCTATAACAAATTATCCCCAAACTTGGTGGCTTAAAACAATAGTTGTTTATTGTCTCACACAGTTTTGTGGGTCAGCATCCAAGCAGCTTAGCTGGGTGTTGTTGGTTTGAATCTCTCATGAGTTTTCAGTCATGATATTGGCTTAGGCTGCAATCATCTGAACACTGGACTGGGTTAGAAGATGAATCATGTGGTTGTTAGGAGTTCTGTCTCTGTTCCTGGCTCTTGGCAGGAGTCTTAAAATTGACATCATCTTAACCTCTCTGTAGAGGTGGGTAAGTGTCTTCCGGACATGGCAGTCAGCATTCCCTCAGAATGAGTAGTCCAGGAGAGGAGAGAGCTAGCAAGGAGGATGCAGCGCCTTTTGTGACCTACTGTTAAAAATCTACACCATCACATCTACCACATCACAATCAATGGTAGGCTCTACCTTTTGAAGGAAGAAGTGCTAGAGAATTTGGGGACATATTTTAAAACCACGACACAACCGAAAGGCAACTAATGCTCCCCAATCAATGTGTGTCTCCTGTTATGTTGGGCACAAAGCTAAATTTTATATCCTTGCCCCTTTTCAATGAGTTGGGACTCTATGACTGAAATCGAACCAATGGAACAGAGCAGAAGTGGTACACGCCTCTCCAGGACCCTCCCATGGAGGCTCATGCCACTCTCCATCCCTCCTGCCCTCTCCACAGTGACTGTGGGGACATGGTGAAGATGCTGCCTCCAAGCTCCTGGACTCACACGCTGAACGGAGTTTTGGTGTGACAAACAGGAAGTCTTTGTTGTCAGTAATGGTCTGTGAACTGGAAAAGCAAAACACTTTTATCAGTTTGAGATGCAGATTTCTGGGTGTATGTCTTACAGCCTCTGGATTTATTTGCTCCAACTGAATATCTTCAGTGGGAACTTAAAGAAATGATGTATGGTATGAGTATGATGAATATATGGGAACTGTAATTTTTTACATGTTAATATGGAAAATTGAAAGGGAATGTAGATTACAATATTAGGAGTAATATGGGGATAATTTTTATTTCTTTTTAACTTTTGGAGCATTTTCCAAATTTCGGATGTTTGTCATAAAAATATAACATTTCTATTTTTAAAAACTTTTGTTGAAGTATAATTGACATAACATTATGTAAGCTATAGATGTACAACATAATGATTTAGTATTTGTATATATTGTGAAATGATCACAGTAAGTCTAGTTAGCATCCATCTTCATACACAGTTAAAAAACTTTTTTCTGGTGATGGGGATTTTCAAGATCTACTTAGCAACTTTCAAGTGTGCAGTATAGTACTATTCAACTGTAGTCACCATGCTGTACATTACATCTGCATGAATCATTTACTTTATAACTGGAAGTTTATGTAACTTTTGACCCCCCTCATCCATGTTGCCCACCCTGACCCTGCTCCTCTGGCAACCACCAATCTGTTCTCTGCACTTTTGAGCTCAGTTATTATTGTTTAGGTTCCACATATAAGTGAGATCATACAATATTTGTCATTCTCTGACTTATTTCACTGAGCGTAATACTCTCAAGGTCCATTTGTGTCATCTCAAATGGCAGGATTTCCATCTTTTTTATTGCTGAATAATTTTTAATTATATACATATATCACATGTTCTAGTTATCCATCAATGGACACTTACGTTATTGCCATGTCCTGGCTATTGTAAATAATGCTGCAATGAACAGGAAGCTGCAGATAGCTCTTTAACATAGTGATTTCACTTCCTCTGAATATATGCCCAGAAGTGGAATTTCTGGATCATATGGTAGTTCTATTTTTAATTTTTTGGAGGCATCTCCATACTGTTTCCACAGTGGCTGCACCTACTTACATTCCCACCAGTAGTGCAGGAGGGTTCTCTTTTCTCCACATCCTTGCTAGCACTTATTATTTCTTGTCTTTTTGATAATAACCATTCTAACATGATATCTCATCATGGTTTTGATTTGCATTTTCCTGATAATTAGTGATGTTGAGCATCTTTTCATGTACTTGTTGGCCATCTCTGTACGTCTTCTTTGGAAAAATGTCTACTCAGGTCCTCTGCCATTTTTGAATCATATTGTTTGTTTTTCTGCTATTGAGCTGTGTGAGCTCTTTATATAATTTGGATATTAGCCCCTCATCAGATGTATAATGGGCAAGCGTTTTCTCCCACTCAGTAGGCTGCCTTTTCATTTTGTTGGTTTCCTTTGCTGTGAAGAAGCTTTTTAGTTTGATGCAGTCCCAATTGTTTTTATTTCTTTTGTTACCTTTGCTTTTGGAGTCTGTTCCGTAAGTCGTTATTTTTAAAAGGAAAATATGTATTTTGTAAAGAAAATGAATCTTATACTCTATTCTTATTTTTACTATTACTGTTTTTTTTTTTGTTTGTTTCACTTTTCTCTCATCTCTCGTCACTTGGATGACTTCTTTTCGTCAGCTTTTGGTACCAGTGACCAAGCTGCGGCAGATCACCTACCCAAGGTGGCTGGTCACGTGCCCTTCTTCTCATCCTCTCCCCCAGCTGAGATTCTCCCAGAGAGCAGAGATCCCTAACAGGGAGGGCTGGCTCCGAAGAGCTGCGGGGACTCCTGCGGCACACGCTGGTGGGGAGGAAGAAGGCAGGACTGGATATGCCAGGCAGGGAAGTTTAGCTCAACTATGAGAAATAGCTTTTTAGGGACCTAATTGCATTCGATTTGCTTTTGCATTTTGTAATTCCTTACCTTTTTGTATTTTTGCTTTTTTTTTTTTTTTTCAGTTCTGTAACTTCCTATCACATCTCTTCTTTTATCTCAGCCTCTCTGTCCTGTGGTTCCCTGGTCCTGTGTCCTGGAGCTCACCCCCTCCGTGTCTGTATGACCACGCCACACCAATGTCTTCTAAACTTTTATTTCCTCCACTTTTGTTCATTCATTCATTACTTCATTTTTTCTTTCATGTATCTTTTGTCATTGGATGCTGTTTTTATATAGATGTTCTTCTAAGTTTTCAGAAAACATGACCTTTTTCAGATGCTTCAGGCTTTTTTATAAATTGCCTTGTGATTTTTCACTTGCTTGCTTATATCCACACATTTTAATAGGAAAAGATCCTTTTAGGCCAATAGATGATGCACTTGGTTGAGAGGGTATCAAAGACATTCAAAGAAAAAGAAGAAAGGGACCTGCTTCCTGGGCCCATGCACCACGACATCCTAACAGTCACAATTCTGAATGCTGATCCCACTTCAGGGGGTGCTCGGAGTATTCTGAGGGCAGGGAAGAGGGAGCAAGCTGCCTAGAGACTTCGGGCAGCTTTGAAAGGAAAGGTAAATTTGGCTCACATCTTGAAGAATGGGTCATAATTCACTCAGGAGAGTAGAGGAGGAGACAGCATGTGCAAAGGTGCGGAGACAAAGGAAGTCCGAGAGTGAGTGGCTTGACACTGCGGTGGTGGAGAGTGACGGCTGGGGGCAGGACATGATGGTGGGGGGACAGGCAGAAGGCCATCATGGAGGACGTGTGGGCCATGCTGATGATTTATATTGAACTCAGAGGGCAAAAAAGGAACTGTCAGGTTTTAATTAGGGAGCTATACAAAGAGTTCTGCATTTTGCAAAGTCATAGTGGCATGACAGCCCTTTAGAGTGTGTATCCAAAAGGCTGCCACTGGAGATGGGCAAGTTCCCACACTCCCTGAGGGATGCCTTGAGACACAGGTGTCTGCACAAGATGCTATCGATTGGCTGGCGTGAAAATATGCTAATAGCCCTTCATTCAAAAGACTCCAGTTAACCATTTTTCTTCCTTTTATTTAAACATATTTATTTCTATTATGCAAAGCATTTAAAACAGCCCTGGATTGCTCTTTCCAGTTAAAAACATATTTATGTGCTAGTGCCTTGTTTATAGTCTCTCTTTGCCTTTGAATAATCTGAAAATCTCCTCCGTGGTTAGTGGTAAGAAGTGTTGTGTTTCACTTTAAAACACTTCCATACCGATTTCTCCTCCTGTGTCCCCCTTGTTCTGTGAGACATTAACATGCAGGTCAGTTTGTGTCTGTCGCCTTCTCTGTGCCTGCTGGGACCTGAGGAGGTGTGTAAGCCTGCCAGTTGCCTCTCTAAAACCTCGCATTCTTGGTCCCATCATGACATCTGCCAGGCTGTGTTTGTTCACTGGAGCTTTTGGCAGCTCCGTTTGCTTATGAAAATAAGATGATTTATGTAGAACAAAGGACTGCCAAAATGTCAGGATCTGTGCTACGTCAGGTGGCCGCAGGTGTTCTGCATTGAGTAGTAGCCATTGGAAAGCCATTAGCAAGTACGTTATGGCAATTGTGTTGGTGGAGTAAGTCTTTTTTCCATCAAGCCCTTTTTCGTGGGAGCAGAGATGCCAAGAGAATGAATTCTCTGCCTGCATTCCTTGGTCCCTAAGGAGGTCTTTCTGTGGTTGAGATCAGGTGATGCCTCTCCCATTGATGATCCTTATTCTACAGAATGATCAAAAGCAGCAGGAAGGGAAGCCTCTCTTTGAAATCCAGAAGACAGTGGATGAGGGATAATCAATGGGGCAAAAGGAGTCCCAGAAATGTATTTCTTTGAAGAAGCTTATGGGGAATTTTATTGCAGTGAGATTTCTCTTGATTGTCAAGCAGACCTACTTGGATCATTATGGCCTGTATTAGGCTGCTGGGGCTGCCCTAACGAAGCACCACAAGCTGGGTGGCTTGACCAGGAGAAATCTACTTTCTCACAGTCTGGGGATGGCTGTCCAAGATCAAGGTGCTGTTGGGGTTGGTTTGCCGTGAGGCCTCTCTTCCCAGCTTGTAGACGGTCATGTTTTCACTGTCCTCACATAGCCTTCCTTCCTCTGTGCCTGTGCAGAGAGAGTGAGCTCTCTGGTGTCTGTCTCTTCCTCTTTTTATAAGACACCAGTACTATCAGATTAGGGCCCCACCCTTATGACCTCATTTAGCCTGAATTAAATTTCAAGTACAGGCACATATGGAGCTGGGGCTTTGACATGTGAATTTAGGAGCAGGCATTCAATTAGGTCCATTCCATGGCATAACCAGAAAAATGAATACAGTCTGGGGGGCATGATGGCCAGGGACTGTGAATTTATTTGAGTTTGGACTTTATGATTCATGGAATCCTGGGCTTTCTGCTCTAGCAAACCCAAGGGCAGACTCTACCACCACTTTAAAAAGAACACTGCCTAGGAGAGGATGCCCTGTGGTCCTTGGCAGGGCCAGAAGGAAGGGTTGCTTAGAACAGAGGTGTGTCTTGAAGACCTGGGTAGAAAGGCCAGACTAGAGAAATTAGGGATTTTGAACGCAGAAACCACCTTGTATAAAATCTATGATTTTAACATCTCAACACAGCCTAGTCTTCCCATCCATTTTTCTCTCTCATGTTTTCAATGAATAGTCTGGCAAGCCCAGGGCTTACTCATTCTTGTTCCCATCTTGCCTTGCTTTATGGAGTGTAGAGACTTTGTATTTTGTTACACAGTGACATTTTCAAGGAAAATGCTGAAACAGCCTCCAAACTAGAGAATTCTCATCCCTTGGTTAAAGAGCCTGTATCTGCCCTTTTTTTGGAGGGATGGAATAAACACATTTCTACAGAAATATCCACACATCAGTTCAAAGGCAATGTTTCCCAAAGAGCATTTTGTGAAATTGGGCCTTAAAAATACTGAGAGCAAGGTGGACAAGTAATTGAGCAAATAGAGAATATTCTCTTCTTTTTACAGAGATTCATATTCTCAAAAGCAAAAACTTGGAAACTATTGCAAAAAAAAAACTGTTTAATT